AGAGAAATGACAACATTTTACAAAGTATGGCAAAGTATGCTAATATTCTGTTTCCTGCATTTCCCAAAGGGAGTCAAGACGGATGCCCTCGGCTAGAGCTGACTGCCACCTGAGGCAAAAAGCATTAGAAATGAAAGGAGATCGTGCCTCAGTGAGAATGCTCGGTGCCTTTTCCTAGACAGCAAGTCACTTTAGTCTATTACTCTCCATTCTCATGCCGGGTTTTGAAAGAGCTGATTTTATGCATCATAAAGCCAGCTCTTAAAATGCCATTGCTGAGATACCCGAGCCATAGCACCTTGAAAACTAAGAAAGAGATAAAATCAGAATCACTTTGATCAATTCCCTTGTGAACTTCAAATCGTTCCATCCACCTGGTTCTGGGAGTCTTTAAATTGCAATTGGAGATTTTACTTTGCTGTCAGGTAAAAGCTTTACTCAGAGTGTGCGAGTCTACGGTTACTCTCAGAAATTATCTTACTTTTACCAGGTAGCATTATGAAATGAGTGTTGATTTGAAAAATGCAAATCTCACTTTGCTGTTTCCAACAATTCCAACACAGAAGACACGACAAAAGCAAACAGGGAGCAGTCCTTTTAGTAAGGGGAGGCTCAGAGATAAAAAGTATATTTTTGAGTCTGCTATGGAGCTAGGCTTGAATATGCATCGTATTAACACCAAAGTAACAGGGAAATAAGACACATTTTGTAATGGTACATATCAAATTTCACAAAAAAATTTTTAGCATAATTTGATCATCTGGTATGGCGCTTTGTTTGGTAATGTATTGAAAAAGAGGTGAAAGGAATTTTAGGTTAGTGAGCTGGCACATTTCTTTTAAAAACCTCAAAATACTGAGAGACAGCAAACTATCGGAATGCAAAAACAAATAGCTTTTATTTTATATAACTTTGATTTTGGTTGCTTTGAAAAAAAAATAATGTACTCACTAAAAATAGGTGAGAGTATAGAATTTTTGGGTGCAGAAAATTATATTCTAGGCACATCAAGTTTCTTACAAACAGACCTGAGTCTAGAGACAGAGACATAAGGGCCAATATATTTTCTCCTGATTTTTAAATCAAATATATAGCAAATATGTTGCACTAAAAATATTCATGATAGCATCACATCTCAATTTACAATTATGAACTATGTAAGTAAGAAATTTGCAAATTTACACATACATGTAAGTATCATTTTACCAATTACAGGTCCATGCAGTGCTTAGAAGACCTTTAACATAAATTCAAGTACCTCATCACCTGTTTATTTTTCCACTTTTTATTTCATTAATTTCAGCTACCCCAAAAACAAGAAAATTCTGAAAAGAGCCAAATTCACATTTAAGAAATTTTTTTATGATTGAAAAACCAGAAGAATTCTATAAAAGAAAGCAGAAAGAAAAAGTGTCAACAATAAATAACAATAAATAAATAAATAAATAAATAAATAAAACACTATTTGATCTATTCCTTTCAATATGGAATATTCTGGGCTTTTTGATACCCTCATCCCCAAAAGAGAACTTCGCAGAAATACATAAAAGAATTTTGATCAAAGTTATGTATCATGCATCTCTATGACAAGCATTGTATAATGAGAGGAAACACTTCTATGACCCTTAACAAAATATCAGACCTGCTCTCTTGCAAATTGGTTGCAAATTTGCAAGAACATCATTATTTTCTTGCAAAGTTATGGCAAACTTTTATCCAAAGAAGGTGCTTCTTACAAATTTGCATGAATATAAAGACTTTCTTGCAAACTGCTGCAAATTTTAAATGCTCTTGCAAATTTTCTGCAAAATTAGCAGCAATACAAATTTTTTTCTTGCAAACTCCTGCAAACTCCTTGCTGCAAGCTCCTAGCAAGCAGCAAATTTACTGCTTATTTCCTACTATTTTTTTTTTTTTTTTTTGCTAAGGGATTTACTATATTCATTTTAATCAAAAACACCTAAAATTCACAATTCAAATCCATTTGATGCCCTGAGATAACTTTTTAAGGTAAAGTAATGACCGAATCTTTTCAATGGACAAAATTATCAAACTTTAAGATACATGATTTTTATAACCAAAAAATTATATTTCTATAAAGCACTTTTGTGGTGCTTTTACTGCATAGAAAAGAACTATAGAGTAGCCTGCTATTTAATGTTTGTTCTTCCGCTCTATAGGAGTGTTCCAGTATTAAGAAATTATGACATAAAAAATATTATCCATAAAATTCACAATTTTCCTCTAATGTAAGGACTGAGTAATTACTGTATTAACTATGTAGGCATATGTGTAATTAGGTTTATCTTTGAGCTGTGTAAAAGCAAGGCCATTTTCTACAAGGGACTGAAAACAGGCCCATATCTGGGGGAGGGGGGCTCAAAAGAACCAACTCTTTTGCTGGGAAAAGGTATGCTCTGGATATCATTTGATATTGTCACATGAAGTTTTTATGTTAAAAGGCCCACTTTTTCAGAAAAAGACCCCCCTCCCTGTGGGACTGCTGGCTATGTGCCTGGAAAAGATAAGCAAAAGACTTCCTGGATAAATCAATTGCATTTCACTCGCTGACAAAAATAATTAAAAATATTAACACATCAGATTTTACAGGATGCAGATGAGACAAATTATGAATAATAAATTTTATTCTAGAGGTAAAATGTCAAAGGAATTATTTTAGGGTAAAAAAAAGGTACATGCAACACCCATGATGGCAATGCCCCTTAAAAACTCCATCAATCTACAACAACAAAAATTTCTTTCAAACAGTTTCTTTAAAATGAAAAGAAAAAACCCAGATCCAGAAGATAAGCAAAGAATATCACTTTTCTTTTTGGTTGTAGCTGACATTAAGTGGCATATGCACAATTACTCCTCCCCTTAGGAAACATCCACTTAGCAAAAGGCAAACAACTCAGAAAGATTGTCTTTGCCTGCTGCTCTTCATTCTCTCCATTGATTAGATGGAAGTCGTTTTACACCCAGACTCTTTGTTCCTTGGAGCTGGATTTTAATTGAAGTCAGCCATTACTGCTAATGAAGTAAAAAGGTCTGTATGATTGATACACACACACTGAGGGTATTACATTAATCGTACGTTGGCGACTTCTTTCGCATCCTCCGAAGCTTCAGGTGATCCACAAAGGTGTCACAAGCATGAAAGCTTTTAGCAGTAAATTGTCAGCAATTTATCAGCATGTGCACTAAAGTGATGGAGTTTGTCTTCACTCATAGATCATGGAAAAAAAATAAAACTTGACAATATTACAAATTCAAATCAGAATGTAGTGAGAAAAAGTTTTTTCCACTTGCCAACAGTGACTGTCTGCTTCAATTATACCAAAATGCAAATAACATTTCCCATTTTTTTTCTTTTTAAAAAATGAAAAAAAAAAAAAATGTTTCCAAGATAAAACAAGTAGTTTTCCCAGGTTCATATCCTCTTTCCAATAATATATATATAATAAGTGATTGTGATTGTACAGCGGGATCTCTAGCAGAGAGAGATTGTACATGATTGTCTTGGTTATCTTAGGCATTTTCCTCTTTGAAAAGTACCGTGGATCAATGTAGCCACAAATGGGCTTGGTTCCCCTAATAACTTTAGCTCAAAACTTTGTCTAAACATTAAGACCAATTTTTAAGTGTGTGTGAAATTGACCCCAAGTCTTCTTTATGTGTTCAATTGTGCAAATAGACTTGTGAAGATTCTTTTTGTCTGTAGCTACTTATATTTGCTTTTACTTTTATGTTTGTAAAGTTTTAGCAACAAGAGGAAACAAATCAAACCATTTTTACTGCTCTTACTGTGAGTTGGGAAAGATTAATTCTCATTTCTCAAGAAAAATCTTGTAGACTTGTTCTATGATGAATATGAAAGTTGCTATAGTAGCATCAACAGAATAAGTGTTATTATAGAAACATGTAAACACCAGAGCACAGTTTCTTCAAATGTGTTAGGAGAGACTTGTCCAGAAAAACTACTCTCCACTGAACACAATCATGTGCACCAGTTCACTTTAACTGAGGTCTTGATCCTTTTTGAGTGGTACATTAACTATAGTGGGATCTCCAGAAGCAAGGTCTGAATTGTGGGGTTGTGTATAATCATACAGCTTAGCATCTGGAATTAGTAATTAATACATAACATATCATGGACAGTGCTACTTATAATCACCCTCACACAGAAATACAAATGTATTATTTGGGGAAGAACATGTTCTGCTCGACCATCTCAAATCCCGCAGGAGTCAATGAAACAATCATGTACAAGTCTACTAACCTCTGTGGTTAGTGAATAGATATTTTAAGTCTATTATGAACTAGGTTAAAGGAATGCAATTTGTCCTGTTGACAAAATGTAAGAAATGACCAAAGGAAGTTTTATTATTTACAGAGAATCATTGTCAGAGGGCAAAAAATATTATTCTGAACATCATTCTACAAATAACATATCTGCTCATCTGAAGGCTCTATAATTGTTGCTCAGTGTATATACCTCTCACTTTTTACTGCTGCACTATTAAAAGTGGTCAATGGTCATTTTTTCCTTCTTGATGGCATTCCTTTCATATGACACTGCATGCAAAAGCTTTTTATCCACTGGTCACTCAGACTTAACAGACCTCAGAAAAATTACTAGTCACATTCAAATTTAACTAGCCTGGGGATGAAATCTACAGACAATAGAAAAAATTATTAATAGCAACCTCTGAAATTATTACTACAGTTTGACCAAACTTGTAACTTTGAAAAATTACATTGCCCTCTCTGAGTCATTTTCTGGTCTTTTCTGGTCTTTCATGTTTTAACAATCATGGACAGTCATGTAGGACTCGAACTGAAACAAATCTATAACAGAACTATAACAACAGATACGCGTATCCATAATAAGGTGCCATAGCAGGATTGCAACTCTCCTTTTACTAGTATTTTTCTCATTATCTCGTTTTCTCATAATCATTACGTGCTATTCTACACAAAACAGACTTTTGTCACACCTTGACAATCCCATAAATCAGGAGAGAGTTTTGGCCGCTGCCTGTATTGTGTAGACAATAACTGCTAGGTGTTTCTTCACCTCTTCCCACTGTTCCTCTGGTCCGTTTTCATCCAGTCCATACATCAGGTCACTGAGACCAGGGAAAGAGCTGGCTGCGTATATGTTCTTACTGCTTGGCGCAAATATGATGTGCCTGCAATTAAGGGTTGTATTAAATATTTATACTTAGTTGATCTCATTAAATAAATAGATAATTTTGGGAGGAAAAATGTGTTCTTGCATGAGTTGGCTTGTTTAGCATTATTCACATCCAAACAACAGCAATTTCTATTCTGGACAAGTGCTTTTTTGCAAGTTTTTCACCCTTTATTTGGTACACCAGGAAAAAGTTTCATAAAATAATCAGATAACTTGGCCATAACTGAAACACATTTACAGTTCTTAAATAAATTTGCCATTTGCGATCTCGAGCCTCGAATTTGTTATATCGCGGTGAATGCTCAAACCACAATATCATGGAGTGAACGTAAAGTTAGTGGTCACAAGCAATTGCCACAAACCACGAACTGTTTATGTGCTTACCCACCCATTTGGTACATGCCATATGTACTGGAGATTGTTGAGAGCCCATTAACCTTGTATCATATGCAGTATGAATTGTTTATAGATAAAATAAAGAAAATTCATAAAAATAGCTATATATTTGTGAGTTGGTGGAAACTGTTGATGAATTAAATTTTCTTGTATCCTATTTGCCACTTTAAGAGCAGTATAAATTATGTACATTATAGGGTTACAGAATTAGGTGCTGTATAGTCTAAAAGATTTTAAAATGGTTTTTCAAGTAGCAAGTTTCATATTTACTCAAAATGGCATTTTACTGACATAATTATCTGACCACATTGGCCTGCACCTACACTTTTCTGCTCAATTCTATTTTGTGATGTTGCATTGGTTAATGACTTGACTTGAGTTAAAATAAACTCATGTGGTATCAGGTGAGGAAAAGATGTCACTTTTGGAATCTTCAAAAGCTGTAACGTTCAGTTTCTTGTACCAGGTTCTTGCAAAAAAACCCAATAGAGACCTGAAAGGAAGTTGGCCAAATTGCTCATGCCCTTTGTTGTCATGCTAAGTTTGCACCATGAAATCAAGATTTGAGTTTTTAGTTGGTATTTGTGCTCACAAATCCAAGGTTGAGGTCACAAATAGCAATTATTTCTTACTAGGCCTAATTTAGTCTCTTTAGAAATGATTTACTTTCTCATCTTCTATCAAGTTCTCCATGAAACCCAGCCTCAGTCCTTGTGATACAAGGCAGTCATAATGGTCACCCAGAACCATGCCTGTCACCTGTATCTGTCACCTGTATATCTCACCTGAACAAAGGTCTACCTGGGAGACCCTGGGGATCAATGAATGCTCTCTCCAACATCAACATTTGGTCATTGATCTCACGTATTGCAAGAGGACTAAAAAAATTAGGATAGTACATGTTATACTAACAATAATGATATGATATGATATGATATGCTGTATTCATTCTACATAACTTGTGCACTCCAAAACACCAGATCCATACACTATACTGGAGGCCAACTGAGTGATAAAATTAATTCTATACCAAAATTCTTGATGGACACAGTAGGAAAAGAAAAAAAACTTATGACTTATACAGTTTGTCTGTGAATATTCAGTGAAAATCAATTTGTGGCTCTTGTATACCAAATATGTGTTACTTAATTAGTTTGGCACTAGTGGATCCAGAATAGGAAAAAGGGAGGTGGGGGCAAAACTTTCTTCATTTATATACTGATCCCACACTCTAGTCCCCCATCCCCCTTTCTCTGTACATTATAAAAAGCCCTACTTGTTTTTGTCCACATTTTCAATCTTCTTTGAGAATTCATTTGCAGCACTTGAGAAGTTTTTCACTGCAGAATATAAACCATCTAAGACAAAAAAAAAAGAGAACGTAAAATTCATCAATATGTATAGATATTATCAGATCCTTGTTTGTATATCCAAAATAATATTTAAAAAAAATCAAATATGATCAACCATATTCTGTCACAGCTTATACAAAAGTATTTAGACTTATATCAAATAATCAAAGGAAAAGAAAAGAATATATAGCATACAAAATATAAACAGATTATTTGACAGAGAATAGGAATCATACGTACCTTAAATCTAATAGCATTAACAGTGTTGACTCCCTGCACACATACCATATTCACTACTTCAAAAACTTGCAAATGACTTTTTTACAAGTACATGTATTTGCTAGTACTGCTCTATATATCCTGTTACTCTATAAACTCACCAAAACTTATCCCATCTTTCTTTGCAAAAATTCCTCCAAAACTTGAAAAAGAAGCATTGGCGAATGTCTCAATAGCTGAAGCATAATCTGCAGGGTTCATAGGCAGTAGCAGGGAGTCTGCCAAGTTTCGTGCCAGTTCCGCCAAGACCTGTGCCACTGCTTTATGGCAGGTAAAATCTGGGTCAATAAACTTCTCCATGATTTCAAATGTCTCATACACTGAATGATATACAGGGTAAGAAGATATCTTCCATGCACTCTGAAACAGATAAATTGTGAAAAAATTAATGAAATTAACATTATCTGTTACCAGTTGATTACGGTTTTCTTTATTAAAAACAAGTCAAAAGAATATTATTAAATTCAAACAAGGCAGCAAAGCAGTCAAATGTACAGACAAAAAGCAGAAAATTATGATATACAAAATAGGTTAGTACTGTCAATTTTGAAGCAATAATACATGATGCCTAATAGCAGAGTCAACACCAAATTTTAATTATGCACAACAGGTAATATGACTGTAAGTAAAATATGTAACTAGCATAAGGCTTTAGGATCATTAGAGTTCAAGTTCACACTTTGAAAATGCCAGCATGAGAAAAAAGAAAAATTTACAAAAAATTGCAATACTTCAAGAAAAGAATGATAATCCTATCAAGCTGGTTTTCCAATTTGAGCTGTATGTCAATCTAAGAATCATTCTCATAAGTTATAAAATAATAAGTAACATAGTTTATTTTTCATAACATTTGTGGTGGCAGTACACAAAGTAGGTTTGTGCAAACTTTGATGCAATATTACATAATAGTTAACAGCAAAATCATCACCAATTGTTATTATCTACTGCATAAAAGATGGACATTTAGAAAATTTTATTACCATTTAGCTTCATGCCCATGGGAGTTCTACATCCCACATTGAAAATACAAATATGTGAAAAAGAACTGCAATGCTTCCAGAAAAGAAAGTAATCAGACTGTTTTTTTAACATAAGGAATGTAGATTCATTATTCCACGTAATTTTATTAGAAATGACAATGTTGCAGTATTTATACAACTGGTAAAGAGATGACAAAGTTTCAATCTTTTCACCAAATTTTGCATGTGAGTTATATTGGTACTCACAGTGTAGGTATATGTTTGATCTGTAACAGGGATTCCAACATGCTGGATGAAGGGGGTGAAGTCACTGCCAGCACCAAGAACATTTACCCTAATACACATGAAAATGCAGTAAGCAAAATGCAAATCCAGGCAGATTAGCAATCCACCAAGGCAAATAAAATACCAAACTGCTTTCAAATAAGAGTGAAATTATTATCAATTTATCTGTTTAAACATAATCTGGTTTTATTTAATTACCTCTTTGCATTGTGTAAGATTTGCTTAACAAATACTAATACAGTTATGTCTGTATCATATTAATCATAAATCTGTAATTTTTCAGTAACAGTGTAAGCAGTTTGTTTTTCATGATTTCAAATATCTTCGCTGAAAATATAATACTAGCATATCACCTTGGCTCATTTAATGTGCCTCCAGCTGGATCATATTTTGCCCAAGTGTCATGTACTGTAATATCAGCATTGTGTGGGTCTTTGACCTGAAATTTAGAGTTCATGAAAAATACTTCAATCAGTTCATCACGCAACAGATTTTGACAAAGCAATATTTGTACTAAACCTATATAAGAGCAAGTTAAATATGATGGGCATTATAGAGTTATGTAGACTTTCTAAAAGATTAAACAAGATCTATAATATCTTTTTCTATCACAAGCCATTCTCACAATTCAATAAGACACTTGCAACTGAACAAGTACATAATTATACGGTTATACAATCAAAATACCTTCCTTGTAGCAGACAACATCGCCGCCTTCAAAAGTGGGGAGGCCCTTCCTCTAAAAGAATAATTTCCTGCAGACAAATAAATGGAATTTGAATTTAATAAACATGTATCCAAGACATAATTAAATTCAACTTATAGCCTTATAATTTAATTAACAGATCTGCATTGTGTGAGTTTCTGGGAGATTTTAGTATCGCAAAAGAGCTAAAGACCCAGAGTTGATCTTAATTTTAAAACTGAAAATATTTGTCTACCTCAAGATAAAAATTAGAAGTAAAGAAAGTAGCTGGTGGTCTAAAACATCTGATATCTTGGTAAACTGCCTAAAACTGAAATACAAGATTTAAATATTCATCCAGATCCAATCTCCTCTATTTCTGCATAGTAGTTGCAAGATCACTCCAGGAAACTAATCTCTATCATCTCTGAAAATGAAAAAGCCATGCTGATAGTGAAAGTTTCCAATATTATCTGTTACTCGAGTTGACTCTGAAGAAACAAGGTATGTCAAATTCATCTGCTGAACTTTGACACAAACACTAACATGTGGCTGCACAGCAGGTCATAGTTTCAGTAAGTCACAGCTACCTGGACACAAACACTCACATGTCACAGCAGTGTCATAGTATAAGGTAAGCCACAGGTGCCTGGACACAAACACTCACCTCTGACAGCAGTGTCACAGTTTAAGTAAGCCACAGCTTGAGTCAGCAGTGATTTCATGTTTTCCTGAAACAACAAAATGAGGAATTATAATGACAGAAAAAATAATAAAAGGAAAAAAAGGAAGAATTTAAGTCTGTAAGTTCATGAACTGTGGAAATGACTTCCTTACATTGGTAATGTTCACTTTCCTTGCATGATTTTTCTCTTCAGTTTTCAGTTTCTCTTCAATATTTTTTAATCATACCTTGACTCCAGATCTTTTTCAATTTTTGTGGGGAATCTTTTTATAAAATACTGTAGAATAAAGGTACACATTTTATCAAAATTCTGAAGGGTTTGTTATATATACTTAGGATAAAAGAAATTTTGTAACATCTAATTTCTATTTTAGAAAACTTCACAGACCTCTACCCATTCTGTAGAACCTGGATATCCATATTCCTCTGCACCCCAGCTGCAAAACTTCAGGGTCCGTCTGGGAGACCAACCTTGAATATACAGATACCATTTTGTTAGTGCATATCCCTTTGCCAAGACCTTGTGTTTTAATAACCATTACAAATAAACTGTACATATCCTGTGTTGCCAAATGTATGTAATTGAACATTTTATTATTTATTTTCTAGGATAAAAATTATAAATCGCAGCATTAGGTGTGAGCATTAAATGCCAATGAAATGTGCTGCACATAGTATGTAATTGAATTCTGTGGAAGAGAAATATTAATCACAACATATTACCAGCCTTCTTGAGCTTGCCGAATGCCCTGGTGACCTCCAACATGGTTGCTGTTCCACTGGAGGGGTCTAACGCTCCAAACACCCAGGCATCTCTGTGATTGCCAACTAGAACATGCCTGTCTGGAAGATTCAAGGGACTGGGGTTATTATTCACAAACCATTTATAGATATCCCTTTTCTATCAAGCATCTTTTAGATCTGAATCTACAACTGGATATATAACAAATAAATGGTAATTATTAGGGTGATAATTCCTAATGGTATGGATATAAAACATTGTGAATAATGATAAGGATATGTCAAAACATTGTGAATAATGATAAGGATATGTCAAAGTTAAGAAAGAATAAAATTCAAGCATATTGGTATCACCATGCAAGAAGACAATAAAGATTTCTCCTAGACAGATAAATTGCAATTATCTTTAGAAAAAATCCCAACAGGGAACTAGTTATCTGCCTGAACTTGAATCTTAGCTATGTGACACACCCACAAACATGCATATGTGCATAAACCCACATGCACGCATGCATTTATGCACATAAGCATGCAAACATGCATGCACACACACCATATGTACCTGGTTCTACCTTTCCTTTGATGGTACCAATGACATTATAGGTCATCCTTCTAACATTATAGTTGTGCACTTCCAATTTGACATTTCTGAAAATAAGAAAAAAAATCAGTATATATTTGGCAAATATGAAACTTTTAAATTTCAGCTCTGTATAATCACTATTTTATACAAATTGTCACAAGTGAATCCAAATATCTATTAATAAGTGCCAGTTTTGGACACCAGTTCAGAATTTCAATATAAAGGCTCTTAGACTACAACAAGTTTTGATTGTTTATAGGCCAGGACTTTTAACACTAGCCTGTTTAAAACTCAAATTTTTTATATATCTGTATGTTGCATGCAGTCATTCATAAAATGCCCTTGGGCCAATATCAGAATATTCAGGATATATTCATAGTTGACTTCTCAAATTAACCATTCTAACTTGAGTCAAAAATGCTTCACGACCACTAAAACTGCCAAACTACATGTAGGTACTATAGTTTATCTGCAAACATGATTAACTAGAATGCAAAGCATCAAATTTTAAATTTGTTCAGCTAACTTTTATTCTAAAATGTATTCAAATTAGAAAAGCACTCGGTGAGCGCAACCTCGACCAAGTCAAATAATGAACTAATAAATAACCATTTCTTAATTAATTAATTGATGAATTAGTTAATTAATCATCACCAAAATCTAAACTTTTCTTCCTTGGTTAATATGTGACCTATCCAGAAAATTTAATTAAAATCTATACATAATAATTAATTAATTAATCGATAAATAACTTTAAACATAGGTTCATTTTATCATGCAGTTACTCAGTAGCAGTAAAAAACAAATCAGAGATAACCCTATTTCGGCAGGACACATGCATCTGCACTCAGTGGCTATATATGATTCTAGGACAATCCAACCCCCCCCCTCCAATCAATGCTCCCTGGACAATCCCCTCCCCCCAGACAATTCCCCCAGGACAACCCCCACCCCCAACGAATACATACATTTATACACAAATAAAAAGTAAATAGTGTAAAGTTCAAAACATTTCATCCATTTCATTAATATTGTTAGTGTGATAATACAAATTTATCATTAAACAATTTTTATAACAAATTCCTTTTTCATTGAGTGCAAGTACAGAAAGTATTATTAAATATCTATTCAAAGTATAACCACCTATCCTCCAGGTAAAGGTGGGGTAAACAGATGAACAGGTAAATATATTTTATGAATATTTTAGTGTGGTGGGTAGTGGGTATAGGTTGGTAGTATTCAAGCAATTAAAAGTGATAGATAGTCAAAGGGATTCCTGGATAAGGGAAAAAATCCGTTTACTCCACCCATCTTGATTAAAGGCTTACTTAATCAAGGGGGGAGTAATGAAGCAATTAAAAGTAACAGCTAATTCATCAATGGGTTGCCTGGATGTGTGAGATCATCTGTTTACCACATCTTGGCCTTGTGGTTAGAGTGTCCGCCTCCGGAGCGGGAGGACGTGGGTTCAAATCCCGTCCGGGGACATACCAGTCCTTAATAAACGGTACCTGCTGTCTCCCCGCTTGGCACTCAGCATTTAGGGGTTGAAGCAGGGGCCTGGTTGGGCAGTGCAGAAATGTTATATTAGCTATGAGCGCCTAATATGGCAGCCGAGCTGTATGCTCCCCAGGGAGGTGAGACCGTCTACTGAGTGCACCAGTGCAAAAAAAAAAAATGACCAGGCTTCCTTGTCTTAAATATTCATATATGTAATTGTATAACTTCAACCTTCGGGTTGCCATTCTCCAATAAAGATTATTATTATTATTATTATTATTATTATATTTACCTGGAGATATACTTTGATCAGATTTTTAATAAAATTTTCTGTTCTTCAATTTCTAAAATTTTTTTGTACTTGTACTCCATGAAAATAATTGTACCACCAGCGTTAGCGCTGGCGGTACACATGGTTTCGGTCCCGTCCGGATCGTTCCGCTGGCTCCGCTGGCCTCGCCGGCTCCGCCGGACGGCTACCGTTACCGCTTCTCCTCCTAGACGGTAAGGGCCCCCGTACCCATCTCTTGCATTTAAGTCACCTATAATCTCAACTCGTTCCACGTAAAATTTGGGCTTTGTCGGTATTGGGGTCTGGGTGTGGCACTCATTGCAATGAACCCTTGTCCAAAAATAGCAAATAAAAATGCTAATTATCTACCCTACGGAAAGGGTTATGGGAAAAATTTCTACAGACGGCTTTCCAAAAGTCATATGTGTAGATTTCAAATATGCCCTTGGATTTGACCTTTGACCTTTACTTCAAGGTCAAACGGGCCAAAATTTTCAAAAAAATATAATTTTTTACGAAAAAAAATTTTTTTGCCCTGTTATTCAGACACCACACAGACTTAACCAATAATATTATTGGAAAGTGTTACCCTTCAGGTCATCTTTCATCTCCGTGAATTTGGGGTCAATCGGTGCATTTTCACAGGAGTAGCGGCCATAAGATACCGAAACTGAAAACTGTCTCTAATTCGGGAACCGTTAATGCTAGAGACCCATTCTTTTTTGCATTTTGTAGAGCATGTAAAGCCCAACACTGGAGGTGGTCTCGGTTTTTTTGTATTCCATACGGTTTTCGAGTTACGCTGTATCAAAAAGTACATATTGGTGGTGAAAGGAAAATGTACGGAAGCCCACTGGTGCCATATGTAGAAAAAAAAATTATCTCGAAATTTCGAGATACTATTTTGAAATTTGAACAAAAAAATTTACCACCAGCGTTAGCGCTGGCGGTACACATGGTTTCGGTCCCGTCCGGTCCGTTCC